CGGCTGAGCCCCCCGCCGCACTGTGGGGGGAGCCGGGCGGGCCCTGGGCAGCCCCCGGTGGGGGGGTTACCCACAATCCTTTTCTTCTGGGCCTCCACTTGCCGAGAGTCAGGGTAGTGTGCAGCAGGCTGAGCCCCCCGCCGCACCCTGGGGGGAGCCGGGCGGGCCCTGGGCAGCCCCCGGTGGGGGGGTTACCCACAATCCTTTTCTTCTGGGCCTCCACTTGCCATGAGAGTCAGGCTGGGGAGGCGCTTTTATGGTTCTGGGGGAGCAGCCCCAGGCCTGAGGACACTGGGGCAGGGGCAGCCGGGGGCTGGATGGGGCCTTGCTTGGAAAGGCAGGAGGCCGTGGGCTCAGGCTGCCTGTGGCGGAGGGGGTTGGGAGCTGAGGAGGGGGTGTCTCTGGGTCCATCTTGGACACAGGAATAGCCCAGTGGGTCCCTGAGCCAGCCCCCCGGGGGGGAGTCGGTGGGTGGTGAGCGGTGCAGGGAGGTGTGTGACCCTGGAGGGTGCCCGGGCTGCCCGTCTCTGTCCCGGGACAGCCCCAAGAGAAAGGGGGGGCTGCCCTCCGCGCTACCCTGCTGGGGGGGATGGGCATTAGAACTGCTCCCCTGCTGCCGGGGGGTGTCAGCGGGGTCCCCCCGACGGGGTGCAGCAGCCGCCCCGCTCCCCCTGCGTTTGGAGCCCGAGCCGGGCCGGTGGCTCCTGTTAGCTCAGAGCAGCTGCCGCGTCTGTCCGAGCTTGGGCCTCGTCCCCTCCCCGCCCGCGGGGCCCGTTTGCTCTGCAAGGCACAGGCAGGCCCTGGTCCCTCTGCCCCTCTCCCGGCCCTGCCTGACACGTCAGCTTCTCTGTCCTTGCTGGGGGCCCCCTCGCCCCCCACCAGCTGCCCCCTGTGTCTCCGCCCCGCGCCTGCCTGCGCCCACGCGTGGTTGTTTTCCACGGCACGCTTGTCTGTGCTCCGGACGGGGCTGCCCGGCGACTGCTTTGTGCTCTGGGCAGAGCCCTGTTTCTGCCCAACACGGAGGGTTCAGCGCGTTGCTGATCAGTAAAGATGCCGTTGACCAAGACCGGCCGGGCGTTGGTGTCGTTCCTGTGGTGCGGGGCGGGGCCCGAATACCCCGCCCTGGATTTGTTTTCCACGGCACGCTTGTCTGTGCTCCGGACGGGGCTGCCCGGCGACTGCTTTGTGCTCTGGGCAGAGCCCTGTTTCTGCCCAACACGGAGGGTTCAGCGCGTTGCTGATCAGTAAAGATGCCGTTGACCAAGACCGGCCGGGCGTTGGTGTCGTTCCTGTGGTGCGGGGCGGGGCCCGAATACCCCGCCCTGGATTTCACGCCTGCCTCCTGCACGGGCCCACGCGGCTTGGTAAGTGGAGGGGTCGGAGCGATACCAAGAGCGTCTGCA